GTCGAGGCACACAGGTTTTGCCCTGGGATCTGCCCATCTGGGGTGAGATTACTGCTTCAGATTACTGCCATTGCTATTGTTCTTTTAGTTTAAGTTCCCACTCTTCCTTTAGTCAACATGTTTACAGAGTTCAGTGGGGACCTGGTTGTAGTCCGGTTGGGGTGCTGTTTTCATCTGATAAGCTGCTGTTCTGGGCACCAGGCTCTATCTCCAGTCACCCCCTGTGGGCTGAGTCCTGTCTGCAGCAACAGTCGCTGCCGTCAGTTTACCCACTCAACAACAAGGGAGCAGGTGACTACAAAATAGACACTTATCAAGTACCAACTTGTTTTGGTAGTAAAGGGACCGTAGCAGTGCTGTGTATACTGATATGTTAGTTACTGTGGGTATGAGTAGAAAAGAAGAGAAGGCAAGCAGTTACTGTGAGACTGGCGATGACTATTAGATTGTTAGGTGGGAGGTGAAGGAGAGAGCCAGACACAGGAGTCGGAGTGAGTGAGGCAAAAGAAAAAGCATTGTTGGAGACATGGGAGTTTGGGTTAACAGTAGATTAAAAAGAGCTGGTGAAATATGTGCCCAAGTATCATTAACCACATCAGTCTCTGGCTTTGAGAGATGTTTGAGTCGGAGGCAGAGGAATGGGTACCGGAAAAGAGAGGAAACACGCAGGGGAAAAAGAAAGAGGGAGAGAGCACAAACTTAAAAAAAAAAAAAGAGGAGAGAGGGCAAACACTAGGGGGCGTTAGCCTGCTACACTGACCTATAGTGTTACACAGATAAGAAAGAGAGCTGGGTGAAGACGCGTGATCATGGAATCACTGGAAGATAAGGACTGCCTGGAGGAGGAAGAGCCGCGCGGAGCTAGAAGACAGTGTAGCCATTGCTGGACCCAGTATTTGGCGTCCTTGGTCTGGCCTATACTCTATGTTGACTTCCATCAGCCTTGCTGTCCTTTTGTAGACTCTCAGCTCCTTGAGTGTGTGGAGTTTTCTTGACTCTGTTCTGTGAGCCGTGGATAGACATTGAGGCACACTGCCCTCAACCCTGGTTGCCGTGATTCTGCAGGGCCCAGCAGCAGTGGGTGGCTGTCCAACGCCCAACTCAGTGTTTAGAGCTCGTGCATTGTTCCCACAGCTTTGTCCTTCCTCGCTGGGATGCTGGGGGTGGTTCTGGCCGACAGCAGTGAAATCTTTCCATCACATTGTTCAAGAACTGAATTTACCTCTGTGTGAAGATATGGCATTGTCTCTTCCCTTAAGAGTTAATCTGGGGTTGGGGGCGGGGGGGAGATGGGCAGTTACCTGGAAAAAGGGCCACCCCTTGGGTAGGCAAGTGTGGTAGTTAGAATGTGAATGTCCCCCATAGTGTTATTTGAACATTTGGTCCGCAGTGGGTGGCACTGTTTGGGAAGGATTAGAGGTACTGCCTTGATGGAAGAATTATGTCGCTGGGGGCTGGCTTTGAGACGGAAAACCTTGTCTTCCTGCAGGCTGCTGCTCTCTCTTTCTCTCTGCTTCATACTCGTGGTAAACGGTGTGAGGGTTGAGCACAGTGTTCCTGCCGCTTGCTTCCAGGCTTCCCCACCACGAGGGACCCTGATCCATTTGGAACCGTTAGCATAAATAACCTCTTCCTTCTATAACTTGCCTTGGTCAGGATGCTTTATCACGGCAACAGAGAAGCAGTTACTCAGGAGGTTCCCACAGATGCCTCCAGGACGTTTACGCCATCGGTTTCAAGTCCCCGTGACTCTCTTTCTGACATCTACTTCCTGTTAAGTTTTGACTGTGCCTATTGTCTTGGGGGAGCTCATCACCCCCCAACTCTCCCTTGCCCACGATCAGAGGATGCATTGTGAATCTTGGGTGTTCCTGAGACCCTTCGGGTGCATCCAGTTCTGACTCATAAAACACAATGAGGAATTTACAACTGTGATTTCTGCCACAGGCATAAAATTAGCCACCTAATTCCATGTTAGGTTTTCCCTCCTAATTACTTCTTTATTAAACTGCTCATGTCACAGCAGGAGGGAAGGCTGATGTTATGTACCTCGGTGGAGAGAAACTTAATGAGATGGAGTGTGGAGTCCCTTCCCTCTGCCCCTGCTCCCTGCACTGGCTTCTGAGAGAACATCCCTGTGGCCTACAATCACACATCGTCAGTTGCCTGCGTGGTCCCCTGGTTAAGAGTGTTTGATGAGCAGAAGAAGGAAAGCCGGAGTATCTATTCCCTAGCTTTCTCTGTGTTGAGTCACTGAAGCTGACTCTGTCCCTCCCCAAAGCCAGTCATTGTCCCTGGCATGTGGTTCTCTCACACAGTTGTCCCTCTGGTTCCTGTACTTTTCTCTTTAAGACTCCCTGCTCCCTGCTGGGGCCAGCCAGCCCTGGGGTGCACCCTGACCCCTTAAGTTTCTCTAAACCCTGCTTCTGCCATTTTAATCAATGCCCTCAGTAGACACTCATTTTTCACGTACCATCGGTTCCTGCTTCTTGCACTCTGAAGTACAGATATGGGTGCTCACGTGACTCAAGACTTCCCCCACAGGCCCAGCGGTGAAAACGATTGCCTGCTTAATCAAGTGACATTGTGCAAGATTAAGTCCCTACCTGACAACCGCATTGCCTGAGCTTTCAACGCAGCCAGCCTCCCTCATTCGGGAGGGAAATATTCAAGTGAGCGCAAGGATCGTCATAGAGATGAAATCATGCCCAGTGAGCTTGCCCTGGGCATCAGTTTGCCCCCTAAAGCTGCCTGAGACTTCAGTACAACCCTGTTTAAAAGCTAAAAAAAAAAAAAAATGAAGTGGGAAGTCTGGGGCAGAGGTGGCCCAGCGTCACACATGCATGAGGTCCTTAACTCTACCCTCATAATGAAATTGTAAAAGCCAGGTACAGTGGTGGATGCCTGTAACCCCAACACTAGGGAGACAAGGCAGGAGGTTCCCAGAAGCTCACTGGTCAGCCAGCTTAGCCTAGTTGTCAAGCTTCAGGCCAGTGAGAGACCCCGTCTAAAAAATAGAGAGTTGGCGCCTGAAGAATACCACCTGAGGTAGACCTCTAGCCGCCATACACTCACACGCATGCGCACAAGAGGTCTAGGGTGAGGCTCAGTGGTGGGGCACAGGCTCCTGGGTTTGGTCCCCAGCATCACATCACACACAGTAATCTTGTCCCAGTGAGGTAGACGTTATCCTTGGAAGTTTCTGAGGATGTAAGAACATTCCCTTGGGGTTTCAGATTGTTTTCTCGAGCCCTTAAGGCACGCACACCTAAAAGTGGAGGCCTTCCTAGTGGTCATTAATCTGTCAGAGGAGACGACTAAACCATTGCCAAACTGTCCAGTGGGGCAGGAGGCCAATCAAAGTGCTTATCTATCTTAAAGCTTTGCTTCAAGTAGTGAAACTTGGCTGCTTCAGATGGAATCTCCCCACCGTGGGGTTGGTGCTGCTCAGTGTCACAGGCCACCCCTGCCTTACACATTTCCTGGGGACCAGGGAGAGCAGTCTGAGGAAGAAATATGTGAATGGAAGAAAAATGTGACATTTTTGTCTATTTGCAAGCCTCTCATATAATAAAGTTTATTAAAATATTTAAATAAATCAATAAATAAATAGATCAGGGCAGTGGCGGCGCACACTTTTAATCCCAGCACTCAGGAGGCAGAGGCAGGCAGATCTCTGTGAGTTCCAGGCCAGCCTGGTCTACAGAGTGAGTTCCAGGACAGCCAAGGCTACACAGAGAAACCCTGTCTAAAAACAAAAACAAAACAACAAGAAAAGGAAGAAGGAAGGGAAGGAGGGAGGAGGGAGGAAGGGAGGGAGGGAGGAAGGAAGGAAGGAAGGAAGGAAGGAAGGAAGGAAGGAAGGAAGGAAGGAAGGAAGGAAGGAAGGAAGGAAATGGAGAGCAACAGTTCTGGGTTTATTGGCTTTATTATTCACATAAAACTAATGCAGACGATGCTCTAACTTGAGAAGAGCTGGCCTGGGTATTGGCAGCCTCAGCTCGGTCTTGCCCTGGACTTGATGGCACTCAGAGTCTGCACCTGTTTTGACTTCTGAACGACGCAATACCGGAAATAACTAACGGTGCTCAGACACACACGAGAACCGGAAGAAAAGGACACTGGTCACTGCATACCTCTTAGGGCTGGAGGGCTCAGCAAACAGGAAGCGGGGCTAGGAAGCCCCATCTCATGGAAAGCAGGCCCTCGGCAAGTTGTCCAGTGACGTTCTGCATAGAAAAGTATATAGAACTTTCTTCAGAGAGTTGGTGTGACGTATATAAAATGCAGGAAACTATAAACACTTTTTCATGCCTGATGCATGGCAAGGAGAGCTAACTGCTCCCGCTACTGCAAAGGGTGGGATCCCCCACCCCTATAGTAGGTGTTTGTGACAATGTCCAAGGTGTAAGAGCTGTGGAAACCCAGCTTCCCGCGGCAGAGCTGCTGTACCTACAGCACAGCGTGGAACTGCTTGTAGGCCCCATTTACAACAGCTTGGTTACAGGATGGTTTCGCTGTCCTCCATGGCTTCTCTCTCGTTATCCGGAATGAATGGTTTGCAATGTGTGAGAGCACCGGCAGGCATCTGCCTCTGAATGTTTTCATTCACCAGAACGAAAAAACTCTCAAGGAAGAAAAAAAAAGTTGTATGTTTTTTTTTTTCTTTCCACTGCTCTGGAGTCTTTCTAAAATGGCTTCTCCTGGGAGATTAATTATAGAGGCCCCAATGTTTCCTGGAAATGCTAAAACATTTTAAAAGAATACGCAGACACTACTTGATGAATGGCTTGACTCTTTATTGCCTAACAATCCAAAAAGAAAAATGCATGTTTGAAACAGAACAGGATGTAATGGAAATCTAAGTAGGTGGACTGTAAAATGGATTTTATTAACTATTTACAGTGGTCGTGTAAATTGTTTTTGTCTACGCCTGAGAAAGTTCCCTGTGGGTTTCTGCACCTCTGGGGACACTTCTCTTTTTCCTTTGCATTATAAAGGTGACTGCTCAGCCGCTGAGAGGAGCGTCTCCAGGTGCCACCAACCTTCCAACAGCTCCTCTGGATCCTTCAGAGAGACATCCTTAACTAACGAAAGGGAAGGGCTGAGAGAAGAGCCACCATCGTTCAGGATACACAGCTCCACCCCTGGAGACACCTTAAGAAATACTATCTAATGGGCTCTACATCCCGCTCACTTAGCAGGGCTTCTCTGCCCTGTGTGAAAGAGGTATTACATTTGTTTATAAGCTGTGGCATCATACATAACTATAGTCTGAGCACTTCAGAGACTGAGGCAGGAGAATCAAGAGTTCAAGTTAGTCCCAGGCTACACAGGAGACCTTGTCTCATAAAGAGAGAGGGAGGGGAGAGAAAAGGGAGAAGTTCAAGTCTGTCCCAGAGAAAACACCCCACGCACTTGGAAAACTTTTCCACGTGCTTTCCCCCTGTGATCTGTAGTCTCTAACGACTGTCCCATTCTTTATGGTGTTCGCCAAGCAACTGGCGAATTATCAAGACCCCTGGCCTCTCTGCTCTCCCTACCTTCTGATTCATTCCCTAAACCGAAAGAACATCGTTGGCATTATGATGTGAGCCATAGAGGAGTCAGGCTGGTTACCTACAAAATGAAAACACCTCCCCACCCCGGAAAATCCTCTTGAAAAAGAAAAGCATTTTATATTTCAAAAGAGGTGCCGAGTCTGTCTGTCGTCACAATGGGAAAATACTCAACACTGTTCTGTGGCTTTACGTTTAATTATGGCTTAGTGCTGGTTTATTTTTAATTATAAGTGAGGACGGCAGTGCCTAATCTTCTTAGTGGGGAGGGGTCCCCTCAAAATCCTAATCCAACTGTGATGTGAGGCTGGGCTCAGCTGTTGACCAGAAGGCCCCACGTGGGAAGCTGCCACTATGGCTTCTGTGTTCTGACCCTGTGACCGACCACTGGTGCTCAAAGTCCTGCTGTCCTCCACTCCTGGCATAGTCCTTGGCACAGAGCAGGCACACTGCAGGGATTACAGTCACCGTTTCTGCTATAGAAGTTCTAGTGAGTTAGTTACCACAGAAGGAGCTCAGGCCTTGTGCTGAGCACTTCACAAAAATACGCCAACTCTCGGTTTAATTCTTTCACCAATTATTTATTTATTTATTGGTTTTTTGAGACAGGGTTTCTCTGTGCAGTTTTGGTGCCTGTCCTGGCTTTACTTTGTAGACCAGGCTGGCCTCAAACTCACAGAGATCTACCTGGCTCTGCCTCCCCAGTGCTGCGATTAAAGGCATGGGCCACCACCGCCTGGCTCACCAATTCTTGACATCCCTCATAGCTCCATGTTACACAGAGAAAGCCTGAAGCTTTGAGGTTAAGCAAGTTAACAAAAGACATTCAGCAGTAAGTGAAACAGTGAACCATCGGCCAAAGTCAGCCTGATCCAGGAACTTACACTCTGTTCAGTACGCACACTGCCAGACTTCTACTGGCTGCTGGCATCCAGACACTGGGCTGGGCATGCATCAGACACAGTTCAGCAAGTCACTCTCAAGTCAGGCTCTGCACTGAGAAAGCACCAATGTGAAAACACCAGGTGAGAACAGAATGGAAAGATTCCCAGGCCATTCTAAGTCTCCAGGGAACAATTCCTAGGTCTGAACAATTGTTGGAAACATTGGCCCTTAGGACTTAGCCCTTCCTTGGAGTTTGAAAAGACTCACTTGGAGGTGAACCCAGCCTGGAGGGAAGGGCAGTTTCACCATCCTTGGATTTTGCACATTTGTTTCTGAGCTGTGAAGATGGGCTGGAGGATGCACTTGGAGGCCGAGAGAGGAGATACCTCGATGCTGATGCCGGTGAAGGAGAGTGGGAGAGAAGAAACATGCTCTTCATTTGCTCTTCTGCTACCTCAGACACTGGTTCAGTCAATACCATTTTCAGGAAACCCTGGAATTTCTACAATTACTCTACAAGTGATGGGTAATGGGGGGGGCAGGAGAAAGTGTCATCTCATTTTTCTGCCTATTGGACAAAGACATTTCCAGGTACAGGCAGAAGGTGGATGGCTGCATTGGTGCTGAGCTCTCCTAAGTGGTACAGAGGCAGAGCATCCCGTGGATTCCTGCACAGCCGAGCTGCGGTTACTCACTGGTTGAGTGTTGGGTCTGGTCAAAGTGCAGGGTTAGGGACAGATCTTTCAGAGTTCTTCCAGCCAAAAACTTCCGTAAGCACATGGATCCTTTGGCTAATTCTCCATTTCATCTCATTCTTTTGTGATCTGGCTTTTTTTTTAATGGACTCCATTTATTATAGAAAAGAGAATGTTATTCCCTGGTGGCATAAGGCCAAGCCCAGGTCATCTACAATAATGAAACGGGAAAGCTCAGAGACCCTAATGTCAGGCAATGAAATGAGAAATTCACAGAGCTGGGATCATGGAGAAATGCACATTTCATTGCCTCCACAGCACGTGAGAACCTGCAAACGAGGAGGAGGAGAGAGAGAAGAGGGTGGGCTGTTCTTCTAAATGATTTTCCCGTAGCTGGTCTACCTGTCTAGCTTGCTTTTTGTTTCCTCTGGTACTTGGATACAAATTGCGTTGTAAAATAAAACATCAAAGTTAATAGCATGAACCGAGAGTTAGGCGTGATAAGTTGTGAAAACGGCCCGGTTCGTGAGGGCGCTGAAGAGACGGAAGAACTTGCTTTCAGTAATAATGAATCACGTCAACTAGGAGACATGGTGGGAAAGGAGGGATGAAATCTGAAAAACAGAGAGTCCGTGTGGCAGAGAGCTAATTATCCCCGACATCTAATCTTCCAGGAGGCTAACAGTTAGTTCAACTGCTAATAGTCACCCAGGAGTGAGCTGCGGAGATATTTTTAAATATGCCATTCTTTAAGATCCAGCATGCCTACATCTGATAGTCAAACCCCTAAGGACTAGCTGCTAGAAGAAACTCTGAAGTCCTCTGTTCAGCTTTGCTTTAGACACCGGGAGGTTATTAGCTCCTAGAATTCACTAGACTTTGAAGGATTAGAGCACCTCCAAGCGAATCAGCTGGTACAGTATTTTGTGTTGCTGTTTATCTGATTCTATTTAATAGTTTGGGAAAGTGGGCTGAGGGATGTGGAGGAAGAAAAAATGAAGAGCAATGCCTAGGTAGAGTTTTAATTCCAGAATTAAATTAAATAATATATATATCATTCTGGGCACTTTGCATGACTTGGCTCATGAATTTCTGAAAAACCCTGGGTAACCGGTTTTGTCGTTATTGGTCCTTTCTTACAGATAAAGAAACAAGTTCAGGCAGGCTCCTGACGTCACACAGAATAGCCACCAGAGGTCCATGTTGTAGGCAGTTTTTCTTCCCAGCAGAGTGCATGGTCTCACATGCTTCCCTGTCTCTGCTTTTGGATCTTCCATGATATTACCTCATCTAGAGAACATGCTAGATTCTGTTGGTTTCTTCTGGTCATTGACTCATCACATCTGTGAGTGGAATGTAGACCCATGCAGACATGGCCTCTGACTACTCATGGTCCAGAAGCAAAGACATGGAGGAAACCATTTGTCTTAGTTAGGGTTTCTATTGCTATGAAGAGACACCATGACCACAGCAACTCTTATAAGGAAAACATTTAATTGAGGGTGGTTTGCTTACAGTTTCAGAGGTTCAGTCCATCATCACCATGATGGGGAGCATGGCAGTGTGCAGGCAGATGTAGTGCTGGAGTCCTATATCTAGCAGGCAACAGGAAGTCGACTGAGACATTGGGTGGTATCCTGAGCATAGGAAATCTCAAAGCCAGTCCCCCACAGTGACAGGCTTCCTTTAACTAGGCCATACTCATTCCAACAAAGCCACACCTCATAGTAGGGCCACTCCCTATGAGATTATGGGGGCCAATTCCATTCAAGCTACCATAAGAGGTTTAGTACAATATCATCATGTCGAGGAACGTGGTGGCGTGCAGGCAGAGATGGTGCTGGAGAAGAAGCTGCATGTTGATATGCAGGCAACAGGAAGCAGACTGTCTTACCAGGCATGGTTTGAACATATATGAGACCCCAAAGCCCACCCCCACAGTGACACACTTCCTCCAACAAGATCACATCTCCTAATAGTACCACTCTTTTGGTGGGCCATTTTTTTTTTCAAACCACCACACCATGTAAAATTCACAATCTTAAGTAAGCATACATAGATCTCTGAAGAATAAAAGGGCATTCGGAGTCAGGAAGTGCAATTATACTAGCTGCCTTCTGTCTTTCTCTTCTCTGAGAAAATTTATAACCTTAAGTCAGATGTAAGACAACAATACAAATCATGAGATCTACAGTTTCTATTCGGCCTTGATGCTTAGGCTGACCTGTAAAAGCCCATGTTCTCTCATTTCAACAGCATCCTTTCTTCTTTTCATGCTGTGGAATATTATTTTAAGATGTGGTACATTCGTTTATTCTGTAGAATATTTGTTTAATGGTGCAAAGATATGTTGCGTTTGTTTAACTCTGTGAAGCCGTGTTACTGTGCCTGTCTAAAACACCTGATTGGTCGAATGAAGAGCTGAATGGTCAATAGCTACGCAAGAGAAAGGATAGGTAGGTCTGGCAGGCAGAGAGAATAAATAGGAAGAGAAATTTGGGAAGAAAGATCAAGGAATGAGAGGAGAAGGAGAGAGGATACCAGGGACCAGCCACCCAGCTACACAGCAAGCCAGAGTCAGAAGGAAAGAAAGGTATATAGACCAGAGAAAGATAAAAGCCCAGAAGCCAAAGGTAGATGGGAGAATTTAAGTTAAGAAAAGCTGGGTAGAAATAAGCCAAGTTAAACTCAGGCATTTATAAGTAATAATAAGTGTCCATGTATTTATTTGGGAGCTGGGTGACAGGACCCCAAAGAGCAAAGAGTAAAAAAACAAAACAAAACAAAACAACAACACTTTTAGGCCTTTCCTTAAGGGTCCTGCTAGGCTTCCTCTAGTCTTTAACATTGATAGAGTGCCTTAGAGTTGACTGACATCTTCCCCTCCCATCCGTCTTTTCAACCATCTTGCGAATGATGCTGAGCCCTTCATTTCGTAGGCGATAACAGTATTTCTGAGCTCTCCGGTACTTGCCAGGCCCTGAGCTCAGCACTTCACGTTCTGTATTCAATTCATCTTCATAAGAACCCTGTGAAGCAAATACGACATGCAGTGGCATGTTTGCGGCCAAGAGGAGTGATTTGTCTAAAGTCTGGCAGGTCAGGGAGGGATGGGGAAGCCGGCCCTGAAGGCTTGGTACTCTGAGCTCAGGGTACCTCATAAGGAGATACGACTTCTCGGAGTCCATGGACCCATGAAAGACAGTGCTAAGGCTTTTTCCTCTGTAATCTAGATGCTTCTGCATATCGAGGGAGATCTGCCCACATAAGCCAATGGAAAGATTCTGAACATGACTAGAGGTTAGGTAGGGAAACTGAGGGATACATTCTATTACAGTGACATGTGGCTATTAATGAGTGGGGGAGGGCACACAAAAAGGGTCTGCATACTTAAGGCACACTCGTTAGCAAAAGCATTTCCCGTGGATGAGCAGAGTCAATCATGGCCGCTGAGTTTTTCAGTGTTTGACGTGTTTATTATCGTGAGAGTAAGTAAGTC